GGTGAAGATGAGCGAAGAGTGATATCAAGCCCATGAAGTAACGAAACTAGAGACAGAGCTTATAGAGTCAAATGTACCATAGTGTATTTATCTCTATAGACTAAGGAGTTCTAAGTTTAACTTAGGAACATGCACCTTAGTGAGTGTAGAAAATATTTGTATCCTCTTTGTGAAAGTAAACCAAATCAAACTATCTATCATTTGTAAAGCCTGAAGAGGCTAGGGAAGTTGTTATAGGACTCTCATAATGGACAGATAAAATGTCTGTAGGTCAATGTATAAATCAGTTATACCAACACTTTTTTAACTTTTAGTGACAGTTTTTGTCCATCTCTAGAAGTCAAGTTTTTTGTAGTGAATAATCAATTAAAAGGAATTCAATTAGAGTTCACAACATTCAATTTTTAGGATGGTAAAATGAGTTGAACTCAATGAGTCATCCTACCAACTTGCCAAAAAATGACAGGGTAAATTAGGTGGTCTAACTTGCTTGCCTGTCATCTCATGCCCTGCTTAGATCGCCAAACCAGTGGGTCACTAACAAGTTAAAAAAAATATTAAATAATTTGGAGTTCAAACATCCCCAACCTTTTAAAGATTGACAAGGGTATTAAATTGATGCTTGCCCTCAAATCACATAAAATATTTTTAAAATAAGAGTTATCAATTGTACATGGAATTGTAAAACTCGTAGGATCCTTAAGTTTGGGAGGCAAGTTGTTCAAGATTACAATAGACAAGTTTTCATTGAGGCCAAATACATCAAATTTTGTCAATTTCTTTTTATTTGAAACGATCTCTTTTAAAAACATGGCGTACTTAAACATTTGAGAGATGCCCTCAATAAAAGGGATATTAATATGCAATTTTTTTTAACAATTCCACGTATTTAACATATTGCTTCTCTTTTAGCTCGTCCTCCACTCTTTATGGAAAAGGGACATGTAATACATTTGTGTCAATCAGTGTTTTACCTTTAACTTATTTTTTAAAAGGACCTTTCTTAATAGGATCTCATCTCCCTTAGACACATATATTGGTTAGTAGGTTGAACCAACTTCTTCCCGTTTCTCAAAGTGATGACTTTAACCTATCCCCTTGGGTGGCTTTGTTTGAGTGGATAGAGTGCCTAAAGCTATCTAAGATAGAAGATTTGTTTGGTTTGAGATGGTTGATTCTAGTGACTTGAATCTATCATTTGTTTTGTTCATGAATTATATGATAACATCATGAAAGTTTTACCTTTTCTCTTCTTGTCTAACTCCTTGATTTTGAAAATGGGATGACCTATAGATATCCTGTTGTTGACCTTGACCCCTTTGTTGTCCTCCCCATGAAAAACCATGGTGATTTATCCACCTTGGATTGTAAGTGGTAGCATACATGTCATTTTAGCCTTTGTTGGAATTGCTAACATAGTTAACTTGCTTTACTGTTTTAGCAAAAAAATTTCCTATTTGAGAATATTTTTTCTTTTGCCTAGTATCCCTACATTACTCATAAGCAGGCGATGAAACATCCCTCAATTGTGCTTGAGTTTGCATGAGAATCTTCATCTATTTAGTTAATGTTATTGCATTTAAAAGAAGAGAATTTCAAGTATTTGAAGTAAGAAGTATAATCTACATAATTTTGGCTTCACACAATGCCAAATATTAAGTTCAAAATGTAATATCTTGAGATTTTAATGTTGTGTCATAGAGCTCATGTGTAGCAAGTCCAAGTGACCAAAGCGTTTTTAGAACAATAATAAGACTTAAACAACTTAAAGAGAAAGAGTTTTCAAAAGTAAAAACAGAAAAAAAAAAAAAAAGGTGCATTTTAAAAGGAATAAATCTTACTTATGACTAAAAGGATCATGTGACTTATTACAAGACGTGTCTTATCAACTACCAAAGTGTTTGATTTTCTTGAAAAAATGAACCATCTAATGTAATTAATTACAACACAGAATACTCCATTACTTAGTTATTAATCTAGACTTTGAGAAAAACAAAATCCTCTAATGTAATCTAGCCATCCATCTTGAAGTTGAAATTATATAAGTGGCAGTCTCGGTGCCGTGGTCAACTGGTTATTATTTTTTTTTTCCCCTGAAGTATCTAGGGCCGATAGTAGTGACTAATCTCTTCGCTACGTTAGAGACACCTCAAAAGATCAGATAACTTTTTTTTTGTTCGTCCCTGGAGTATTTGTTCCCGATGGTTGGAAGCACCTCAAAGGGTGAGATAGCTGGCCCCAAAATTTAACGCGGCTGCATACGCAAGGCAGGATTCAAACTCCTGACCTTGCTTAAGCGTGGATCAACCTTTACCGCTGAATCACACGTTTGGGATTAAAGGATGGGATAGCTGGTTATCCTTTACGGCACCTCAACGACTGCAAGGTGTAAAAACTGAAAAGAAAAAAGGAACCACGTGCATGTGTTTCACCCATTTATGGTCTTTCCTACATAATTGAAGGCCTCCTTTTTCTTTTCTTTTCATTTCTCGGTGATTCTCTGTATCTTATCTGCTTTTATTCGGGATACATTTTAATTTTTTTTTTAAAAAAGCGAATGATATTTTAGAGCATAGATTTATTAAAATAAAATGGTAAAACATTTGATAAAGTAATAAGATAATTATTTCATAATTCATATATGACTTGCGTTATATAATTAGCCACACTTAATCATTTTTTTTATATAAACACTCATCGTTAGTATTTTATTTAAGTAAAATATAACTCAAATTAAAAAAATAGCTTAAAATTCATTCTATTTTATAATTTAAATTAATTTATATTTTAAAATAAAATATTTTTTTTAATATTCGATCTCTCTTTCTTATAACTATATATAATCATAATTTTTTATTTTATAACACGTGTTGTATAAACTTTTATTTTTGATCAAATTTTTTTATAATTATTTATCTAATAATTAAATATTATATTTTAAATTTTAAATTAAATTGTTTTATAAATAATAATTTTTAAGCTATTATAATTTTTTTAATTTTTTTACTTTTATAATTTTAAAAAACCTGAATTGTGTGTACTTAGATAAAATTTGAAATTACTTTGTTTTCATTAATTCAAATTAAAATATATTCATAAAAATATATTATATGTTAATTTGAATATATAAAAAATTGATCTATTAATTAATAATTTTTAAATTTTATAATTATATCATTAAAATTTAATGTAAAAAATGAGTATCCCTCCCTTATCTCTCTATATTTAATATTGTACTACAAAGTTGTTTTTTTATTATAAATTATAATTTTATATATTTTCTTATTTGTTTTTTTTTAAAATATGTAACATGTATATACATAAAATAATAATACACATGCCTTGCATTTTTAATTCAAATAGTTTTTTTTCCTTTATTTATTTATTTTTAATATTTAAGTATAGTTAATTTGCAATAAATTAAATATTGTTATATTTTAAAAATTAAACACTAGACCTTAATATTTTAAATAACAAGTGTAGATCTTCTAAAGTAGAATGAAATGATATTATCCTAAATGAAATGGAAATAATATTTTTTAATTACCTAAAATTCTATATATACTACTTTAATTTTTTATGACTAGGCCAAAAATGAAAACAATATAAGTGTTATATGGCTCTAATTATTTAATTACTTTTCTAAATAATTTATATTTTACTTTAGAGGATTTGTACTCCGTTTATTATTCTATACAGAATTTTTTCCCTTTTGAGTCATTTTTTAATAATTACATTACTTTCAAATAAAAAAAATGAAGATCAATTTTTAAATCAACAAATTTATTTGTTTGTACGAGGCATCCAGCTATATTAGTGTAAAATTTTTCGCTAGTGCAAAAGAAATACATTGTATCTTTACTGAAATAAAATAAAAGATAAAATAATGAAAGTTAAATACAATAGGTAATTTATAACTTAACGGTGTAAGTGGTTTGGAATAATAGAGTAATATAGGAAAAGAAACATGTACATTAAAATCATGTATTCCCTCTATAGATACTAGTGGGAAAGAAGCATGAAGTAATTCGTTTTTTTTTTTTTTATAATTTTTTTAACGTATTTTATTTAAATAAAAAAGAGGGAAAAAATTATATAAATAATGTTCTCTTTGAGTGTTGACCAATGAGAACACAACTTGATATATCCTGAGACATATAATGTATTGTCTCACCTAAGTTTTCTAGGAAATAACATTTCACAATTTTTACTAGCAAGTCTTTAAGATATAATAGAATCCCTCAAGTATTAAATTAATGTAAAACTGACAAATTTTTATAGATAGAAGAGGATGATGGTCATTGCCTCTTACTCCTATTATAGTTGTAGGTATTTTTAGATAGGAGCTTCAAATAACAATTATGACTATAATCAATAAAAAAAAAATAAAAATAATTAATTTTAAAAGGTTTGATCATTTAAAATCAATTAAGACAATAACAGTCAAATTGTTTTATTTCCTTAAAATCAATATTAATTAGACTTCAAAACATGTAATTAATACAATAATAAATTTAAATTTAATAAATTCAAAATAATTTTGTAAATAAATTATTATTTTTTAAATATGTCAAAATATACATGTAGTGAGTCAAAATAGAGATAACCGGTGTAAAAGTGAGAGAAAAGATCACTTAAAAAAATTGAAATTATACAAGACATGATGGTATATCTAGTCAAACTTAATTTCTTTAGAGTATGATACCATATTTGACTCTTATAAATTAACAAGAAAGAAAAAAAAAGAGTAAAGACTAAGAAAATTGTCTTAAATTGTCCTCTTGGATTAGGTAAGTGAATCCTCTTTACTACATGTGGGATCATACAAGAATTTTGAAATTATACCTACACGCATGAGTTGTAGATCTGGCAGTAGAGGAACATTTATTTAGCGCGGTCGTTGAATATGTTTGAAAAGAAAAAAAAGAACGTGAAAAATGAAAATGTAGAGTGAGGCGCAACTAACAATTTAAGAGCGAGACTCCATTTCAAAAGGACGTTCCCACAAACACACACTCACGATTTTCATGCTCTCACTCTTTTCCCTTTTTCCTCTTTAACTACGCAGTTCAACATTTTTTTTTCTATTTCGATTCCTTCCATTGCCTTCTGCTCGAATTGAACAGGTCAAGAATTGCTTCAACATTCGCCTTCTATTTTTTGTTTTTTTATTTCTTTCTTTTAATTTTCATGCAAATGCAACTTTGTTCTGCTTTTTCGGTGCTTTTTGTTTTTCCAGATGCTGATTTTGAACTTTCGCATTGTATTTTTTTTCACACTAGTCCACGGAACCAAGGCCAAAATTCTCTCGGTTTTTCTTTATTCAAAGGCTTATTAAATTTATCATCGTCATCATTGTGATTTATGAGGACTAATTTTTTTTTTTTTAACATGATATAGTTTTTTTTTATTGCATATGATAGTTTTGTTTATGCTTAAAATGTGAATTTCCCTGTGTTTGATCGATAATAATATTTTAATATTTATTAATTGGAGCTCAGATTTTGGTTCAGGACCTTGGGGTCCAATTTTAACGATTTCTTCTTAAGCACGGCAAATTTGCGACACATTAATGGTTTAGCAACAAGGCACTTTGCGATTTTGGTTTTATATATATATATATATATATATATATATATAATATTATGTTTTTAATTTATCCTATTTGTGTAATTGGATTTGTTTGGATTAACTTTCACGTGCTAAATTTAGAGCATAAGCTAATTGTACAGAAAAGAAACAGCTAGGACTTTTAGTAAGATAATTATGTCCGTTCAAAATTTTCTTTTCTTCTGGGAATCCATTTCAGAATTTCATTTCTAATTTTCTCATCACATCAAGTTGGTGAAGAATTTTCCTTGAAAATTTGACTCCCCAGTCTTTGTCACCGCTGGTAATTCTCTTAAGCAGATTCTAAACTTTCAATGTTCCATGTGAGGGAGAATTTGACAGTCTGTTCTGTGTATCGGGGAACACAGAAAAATCCAAGTTTTCCATTAGAATACAAAGCACCGCATTTTGGTGTCAAAACTATAGGAGCTTGTCATGTTTGTCGATTATTATTTTTCTCCCTCTCTGACATCTTTGAATTTAAAATTGCTAGAACAATATCATTCTTTTTATTTTCTTTGCTTGTTTATGGAGCCGTGACCTTTGATTAGTTTGTGCCGCAGATAATGATTGGGGGTTGAAAGCTTCGGTGGCCATTGTGTTCCATACCATCCGAACAACAGTACAATACAAGTTTCATAAAACAATTGAAAAGTAATAAAATAACTGAATGTTGAAGTGGCCTTTTGGGGTGCTTTGAATTCGGGACATGGTCTCGTTGTCATTGATGGAAATGAAGATTTAGAGAAAAAGCTGAGAAAATGGGTTCCTTTACAGAGGAGGAGGCAATGCAAGGCCCAACTGGCAGTGATGAGAGGATTCTGGTTTCTGTTCGTGTGAGACCTCTGAACGAAAAGGAGCTCGTAAGAAATGATCTGTCTGAATGGGAATGCATCAATGACACAACCATCATGTACAGGAGCAACCTTTCAGCCACAGAAAGGTCCCTGTATCCAACAACCTATACATTTGGTACGAAGACGCTAATCTTACAATTCCATTTATAGATTTGTTAATGTTGGGTTCATGCATGAAAGCTTTTAATGGAAATGGTGAGTGCTTTGCTGCTTTATGCTGAAATCATTTTTTTGAGTGAAAAATAAATTACTGGAAACATGGACTTGATTTAATTTGATTCCCTACAATGCCGCCTGGATTGCGAATAATTTGGTGTGTTTGAATGGTTTTTCATTTATAAGACTGAATGAATTAACTTGGAGAACAGAGTGGGCAATGACATTCACCATAATTGATGTTGATCACCCAAGGAAAGTTTTGGGGTTCAATCACTTTGGGACCTTTGTTTAGTCTCTAGTATATTATATAGTTTTGTTAACAAGATTTTGTCAGTTGTCACCATTCTGCTTTGGAGAAAATTATTTATTTGTCATAAATCTGGTCCTTTCTATATATGGAAACAGGTGGTTCATTGCTTTTGTCATTAAAACCATTCTACCAAGACCCGTACTTTTGGCTTTTATTTCATTAGATCAACATGGGTTAAAGGCTGAAATTGCTTCCCTCCGTTGATCCACCTTGATTTCTTTTTGCTGTAGATCGATTATTCAGGAGTGACTGCCCCACAAGGCAGGTGTATGAAGAAGCAGCTAAGGAAGTTGCTCTTTCAGGTCTCAGTGGCATCAACTGTGAGTTTTTTTCCCTTTATTTATCTTTCCTCCTTCATATGCATGAATGTCCATGGAATTTCATATTAACAACTTCGGCCGGGCCTATTTGGTCTTTGATTACCTATTTGATCAGCAAGCATTTTTGCATATGGACAAACAAGCAGCGGAAAAACATACACCATGAGTGGTGTAACAGAGTACGCAGTAGCAGATGTTTTCAACTACATAGAAAGGGTAAATGAAATCTGAACACATCAATACATCACTGCATTGCCTTGTAATTCCAAAACCTTAAATTGATTATATTTTGATTTTCCACAGCACAAGGAAAGGGAATTTGTTTTGAAGTTTTCAGCATTGGAAATCTATAATGAATCTGTCAGGGACCTCCTTAGCGTTGACAGTACACCTCTCAGACTTCTTGATGATCCAGAGGTAAATGTCTTTATTATCTATTCCAAAAAGTTGGTGCTTCTACATTTTACTAACAGTTAGCAATTTAAACAGAAAGGGACAGTCGTTGAGAGGCTCACAGAGGAAACTTTAAGGGACTGGAACCATTTTCAAGAACTTATTTCATTCTGTGAAGGTAAGGATTAAGGAAGTAAGGATAATTTAGATGACCTTGCTTCAACTGAGTTATACAGATTGACTTTATTTATCTATTTTTCTTTTCTTCTTTTCCTCATTATAAATCTTATGTCCAGCTAGAGCTGAATGCATAGTTATCCCAAAAATGATTGAATTTTTCAGCTCAAAGGCAGATAGGGGAGACGGCTCTGAATGAAGTGAGCTCCAGATCTCATCAGATTCTCAGGCTGGTACGTATATTCCTATTTCTGTTTAAGGAACGAGAATTTTATAGCACGTCGTTGCTAAGTGCTAACATTTCCTATATAATGTGGTTCTTCAGACAATTGAAAGTTCTGCACGTGAATTTCTGGGAAATGACAAAATGAGCTCCCTCGCCGCTTCTGTGGTACGACAGATTCTCTATGACTACAGAAAATATACAAGAATTAGTTTATCGCGTTAAAGAACATTAACCGAAATCAAAATGATTTTTTTCCCCTCAGAATTTTGTTGATCTTGCTGGGAGTGAGCGCGCATCCCAAACTAATTCAGCTGGTACGAGGTTGAAAGAGGGTTGCCACATAAATCGTAGTTTACTGACTCTAGGAACTGTCATCCGCAAACTAAGGTTAGCTTATAAAGGTTGCATTTCAATAATTTTGTTTTTGATACTTAAATGAACGCCATCTCCATATTCTGTCTTACCCAGAATTTCAACCCACATACAATTGAGCTTTGGGTAATGTTGAAATAGCACGAGATACATGTTGGATTTAGAAAAATTGAATGTTCACTTTTATAAACATATGGCTTCTTTGGCTACATTAGGTTTTTTTCTCTCCTTTTAATGGTATATGGTGATTCCTCAATCCCTCTTAAATAAAAGGTGATTTTGATTTGCTGATCTTTCTAACGGTAGCACCTGCAACGTTACTGTGTTAATACAAAATAGGAAACGTGGATAAATGTCCTCTGTGGTCTCTCTCTCCCTATCGTCTTTCTTTCATTTCACTGCTCACTTTTATGCATGTTCATATTGATTAACTGGTCAGCTTTCTGTTTCTGTTTCTGTTTCATGTATATCCTCTTCTTTTGGTACAAATAGATCATAGGTAGCAAATATTGACAAGTAACGAAAGAACCACAAATATTTCCCATGTAATACCCCAAGCTCTAGGTAGCTCCTTAATCGTGTCGTGAATTTACATTCTTATTATTATGTTACCACAACCAATATGGAGACATATGCGTATAAACCTCAGTGCCGAACATTTGAGAATTATGAATATGTGAAACTCTTTCAGACTAAATTTTTCATAAACTTACTGAATGCGTCTATGTAACAATGTCTGGTATATATTTAAGAATCTTTTATACTCGATTTTGGGAAATATTTCTTTTGCTTTTATCTAAAAATAATTAATTTGATGACAGCAAGGGGAGAAATGGACATATTCCTTTCAGAGATTCAAAGCTAACCCGCATATTGCAGTCCTCATTAGCAGGCAATGCTAAAACTGCAATCATCTGCACCATGAGCCCTGCAAGGAGCCATGTTGAGCAAACCAGAAACACCCTTTTATTTGCAAGTTGTGCTAAAGAAGTGACAACTAATGCAAAAGTCAATGTAGTGATGTCTGATAAGTTGTTGGTCAAACAACTGCAAAAAGAGTTGGCTAGACTGGAAGGTGAGTTGAAAAATTCAGCGCCAACCCATCTTAAATCTGATTCTGCAGCATTGCTGAGGGAAAAAGACCTCCAAATTGAGATGGTAAGGATCGAAATTTTCACAACAAATATCCATTACGTTTATCATGCTTTAAAGAATTTGTTCTATATCTCTGAAGTCAAGGAAAATTTCTAAAATTGCATATTAATAAATTAATGAAATATTTTAGCCCCAAATGTATGTGCATTTCCTTAAAAAATAGATTGCTCGTGTAATGTTCTGCAGTTCACATTTTATTCCTGGCCTTTCAATCGTAGAATCTCTTCGGTTATCTAACTTGTGTATTTATTAACTTTTTGTTTATATTGAATTACTGAGAACAATGGTGAGCTTTGGCAAGGGGTTCTCATCTTAAGGCCTTTCCGTGGCGGGAAGTATTCAAATAACCAATTTCAGTTGTTTTTTGTATAATAAAAAAAATCATTTTTGGGAGATACCTTCAAATGTTTTCTACATGAGTTTTAGAATGTATGAGGAATGAGGTCACCGTAATTTCCTTACGTTTGAGCATGTGTTTATTTTTTAAGCTGTAAATATCAATCCTGTTATTGTCCCTCTGCTTGCAGTTAAAGAAAGAGATAATGGATCTGACGATGCAGCGGGACCTTGCTCAGTCTCAAATAAAGGACATGATTCAAGTGGTTGGAGACGATATGTCCTCAATGGAATTGGTAAGTCTACTGTATTTGCCTACTCTAAAGCATTAAAAGTAGTAGTATTTGACACTCCTTTTTCATCTAATTTATGTTCAAACCCGATCTCCAGGAAAGTCTGGGAGGTCGTCAATATCCCAAATTACGTGTCCGAAATTCATTTGACTTTGATAATCGAACAGCCGAAAGATCATATTTGACAAGTTTTGACTGTATAGAGAGTGTCAGATCTTTTGATGCATCTCAGTATTCAGACGGACATAGTTTTAGTTCTGATGAGAACTATTTCCAACTCCCTGATTTGGAAAAGAATCTTCCCGTCAGGATTGCTTCCCCTGGGCCTCCATTTGTAAGTCTTGATGCTGCACATAATGATTTGGATCAGAAAAGGGTTGAAGAACAACATGAAGATAATTTAGGGGACCGTTGTAGGGAAGTTAGGTGCATTGAGTCCGAGGACGTAAATGCAAACACACATACAAACTCAAATCCAGAAGATTTAAGTACAAGTTTATACATAGACTCTACTGCATCATCTCCGCGGGCAAATACAGTCGTATCTGGATTAATCGAAGTTGATAATAGAGACAAAGAAAATCTAGATTTGTGTTCACCTGTGTTAAAGGACAACAAAGAAATAATCCGCTTGCAAGAACGTCTTATTCTTCCCTCTACAGAGAAAATATCTCCATGGCTGGCACAAAACAGTGCACCTAGTTCTAGAACCTTGAAATTAACCCGAAGCAGAAGTTGTAGAGCAAGTCTTATGAGAGACTCATCTTCAGATTGGTTTGACCAGGAAGAAATGACTCAGAACACACTCCTAACAGGAATGGAAAATGACTTCACCGGAAGACCCGATGGCCGTCAAAGGAAGAGCTGTTGTACACTCAATTATAATGGCAATAATGAGAGGTTAGAATGGGCTGGTTATGAGAATTCTCTGGGAAGTTCTGCTGCTGATGTACAAAATAAGAAATCGTCCACTGACAATGAAAGTTGTAACAATAATTCATTAGCACATGGAGGAAAGGAAAAGAATGATCTTGAAAGTTCAAGTCCACAAGCGAACCCTGAGGTATGCTTCCGTTGTTCATATTCCTTGCTTTATTTGTTTCTGTGTCTTCCTTTGGTCTTATTCGCAAGTGCAGCGGCCAAGTGTCAGTTATTTGATCCAACTCAGAGTGTTCCTATTCTAAACTGCTATACTGATTCATTTTTTGTATTTTTCTTAACCATGCAAGTGATGTAAGTTCTAAATATATATTATTAACAAAACCCTTATAATGAAAATTCAGCCAGTGATTCTTTGAGTTGTTTTGCATGGCAGGTTCCAGAGGCAGTAATGGAGTCCGATGTTAATGAAAAGAAGTCCAAAGATGTTGGTGTGGACCCATTGCAATCGGAGGAAGAAAAACAGTTGGAATGGTCTTCAAAATTTAAGCAGCTGCAGAAAGAGATAATTGAACTCTGGCATGCTTGTAATGTTTCATTGGTTCACAGGACTTACTTTTTCCTTCTATTCAAAGGAGACCCGACAGATTCTATCTATATGGAAGTAGAGCTAAGAAGGTTGTCCTATCTCAAGCAAACCTTTGCTCAGGGGAATCAGACAGTGGAAGACGGACGTACCCTTACCCCTGAATCAAGGTAAAGATTTGAAGTGTTCAGCTTTAGTCAAAAGATTTTCATGAATTTTATTTCACATTTTGTGCAATAACAAAACCAACAATGCGTTTCTTTTGCAAACAGCATGAAGTATCTTAGAAGCGAGAGACAAATGTTGAGCAGGGAAATGGAGAGGAAGCTGACAAAATCTGAAAGAGAGAACCTGTATATTAAATGGGGGATTCGTTTGAGTTCAAAGCATAGAAGGTTGCAACTTGCCCACCTCTTATGGTCAGAAACACAAGACATGGTACACATTAGAGAGAGTGCCAATATTGTTGCAAAGCTGGTTGGTTCAGTCGAGCCAGATCAGGCTTTTAAGGAGATGTTTGGGCTCAACTTTGCCCCACGCCGCACAATTAGGAAATCTTTTGGTTGGAAACATCGAGTATGAAGGTTGATAGCCGAATCAAATTATTTTATAGGAAGTTTGATGTGGCCATGTAAAAATTTCCCCTGGCTCCATTTAACATAGGACATTTTTTTTCCTTGTAAAAACAACCAGATCTCAATTTTATGTTTCTAGCCCTGATTGCTACTTGATTGTGAGGAGGTTTATCAAGATGCGCAGTTCCAAGGTTACAAAATATTAAATATTTATTAGTTAATAATAGTTAATAAATATAATAAAAATAATTATATATTTATTAGTTTCATATGTTTAAGTGTATTTTTTTAAAATTTAAAATTATTTTTACTTTTATTTTTATTTTAAATAGAAAAGTTGATTATATAAAATTTAGACATTAATGAGTTTAATATATTTATTAACTTTATTATAATTAATGTGTATGACATTTGAGGTAATTAGTGACTAATGTTGATATATAATATTGTCTCTATTAAAAAAATAATTATTTATAATGATTTAAAATTATTATCATGTAATCAATATTTTAAATTGACACAAATAATAATGACTTATGTCCTTTAATTAAGATGTCTAAGTTTGAATCCTAATTTTACATATGGAATAGACTATGTTGACAATGGATATTTACTTTGTATACACTCGCAATCTTCAATGAAAATTAGTCAATGCTTTTGACAATAGATACTTTGTATCAATACTTTAATTATCGAAAAAAAATTATCATATAATAATTTTGTGACATAATATTAAAAAAATAAATACTTATTATATTATATCTATAATATCATTTGCAAGAAATTGAAATAAGTCAAGTCCAAAATATTATTTTTTTAATTTAATTTGTAAACACAATGTTTAGGAAAGAGAAAAGAAGATAATAAAAGAAAAGAAAAGATGTAAAAATAGTTAAACAAATAAAGTGAAAATAAATGTTAGTCGGTAAAATAAAAATAGAATGGAAGTTAATTTTGAAAACTATTTATTATAAAAAATTATATTCATTATTAGAAGATATTTTTATTTATTATTGTTGTTTATTTTATTATTATTTGGGAATGGGAAAGATAATAATCTATCATGTCGAATAAAAGTGTATAAAAATAATTAGAGTACAATTGCCCATTTTCAAATAATATTATGGTTCCCATATTTAATTTTCCACACTTCCACTAAATTTCTCTTTATCAAATAATATCAATTTATTCACTTGCATACACTTTTATTCTCTTCTCTTATATTTTTTACTTACCAAACACAACATAAGTCAAACATATTTATCTTTCATAATAATTTCATATCCTTTTTCAAAATGTTGGTCCAAGTTTGAAATATTTTTAATTTAGACACATAGGAAGCATCACTAATTAATTTATGGATTTCAACTTTGATGTGTCTTTAAAAGACACATCTATTCATTTTCTCATTAACTTCAACAAAATTTTCTTTGTATTTATACATGTGATTGTTGCCAATATTGTTTAAATGACATAAACTTTTGTCATTATTATCTTCTTTATTGAATGTTTCCACAAAATTAACTCTTGTTCATTAATAAGATTGACATTTTCTTCTATATCATTTAAAGTATTGCAATATTTCCAAGAGAAATGAGAAAAATCATATCATTGAACTTTTGATTTGTTACATTTTTCATGTTGAAGATAACTATTTTTTTCTTATTTTTTTTTATGAGTTCTTTGATAATGATAGTTTTTTTTTCTTGGCTTCTATTGTCTTTTCCTCTTCAACCATTGTCAGTACCTCTTCCTTAACCACATCATATTTTGTTTTTGAATCATGAATCTTCTTTTGAAGAAAAACTAAGTTTGAGAACTTGCTATAATGACTTTTCTTGTTGTATCTTCATTCTTTTTCATGAGCATGTATAGAACATTCCAACTATTTATAGGGATGTTAATGGGTCGGATTGATTCAAATATGAGGAAAAATGAAATTGGAACCAATTAATTTTAATTGGTTCAAATTTTAGAATTTTTTTTTACATAACCTGAACAAACCTGTTAAAAATTTATTTTATAATTTAAAATTTAAATTAAATATTTAATATAATTATTTCTTTTTAACGTTTCAAAACGGAGGATATGGTACAGTTTTGTTTTTATTCTCTTTCTGACCACGTAATGTTTTGCTTTCAAATTGGTTAGCACATGTACCACGCACACTCACTGTTCCGAAAAGCTAGTGCACATCAACACACAACGTACACTTTTTGGTTACCGGAAAAATTTGCAAAACGTGGGCACATCCTTTATCTAAAAAATATATTGTGCTTATATAGAGTGACCCTGGAACGTGAAACTAAGCAGAAAAAGAATATACAGCAAGTTCATATTTTCTCTCCCTCAATATTATTTCTACTAAAAATTATAATTTTGGAGCGGTGTTCTTTGGTTCGGGGATCTTTCGCTGCACTCGAACGGTCTAACGGGTTGACGTATCTTGGGAGAGGAACGCACTATAAGGCTCAAAATTACCAGTGCAGTGGGGGCGTTTTCTCTCTAAGGATAGCGCTCTGCGTGCTTCAACCCAGGCTACTCTAAACTTCTTATCTAATAATTTTATTTACTCTTTGTGTTTAACTAGTTGTTACTGATTGCTCTGTTTTAATTGTATAATATTCATTGTGTTGTTGATATTGGTTTTTATTGATAAATCTAAATATTTATTTTTATTGTGCTCTATTAAATTTATTTTTCTAACAGATGTTAATGGGTCGGATTGATTCAAATATGAGGAAAAATGAAATTGGAACCAATTAATTTTAATTGGTTCAAATTTTAGAATTTTTTTTTACATAACCTGAATAAAACTAATCCAATTTTGAACAGGTCATTTTAATTAGGTCATCTAATATCTAATGAAAATATTAAAAAAAAATTGTTTTGAAAAATTCAAAATAAACATGATTTTGTTTCAAAATTGATAAATAATACTGATGTAAAAGAATGTAAAAGAATGTCAATTACATATTTGAATGTAAATGACTTACACTAATTAAATAATAACTTAAATTATAAAAATAACACATAGATAGTTGAATAAATCATATTAGTACATCTATAATAACAAAAGTAAAATTAATAAAAAAAATATCCAACATGAACCAAAATGTTTAACATACACTAAATTGTTTAATAGAAGTCATTTCCACCAACACACTAAATTGTCCAACTACACAAAGTCACATATTTACTATGTTAACCAATATAAAATAAAAAAAAATAACAATAGATAAATAGTTGGTTTGGTTCAAGTTGGTTTGAGTTTCAAAAGTGTGAATTCAATATCCCAACCAATTAACATCAAATTTCAATTAGTTTGGTTTAGGTCCAACTCGAATTGGAGAAAACCCAAAATAATTAAATTGGTTCTATTCGAATCATTAGATTTGTTAAGTTTATCCGAACTAATGAACAACCTAATTTAGTGGTCAAGGTTATTGGAGTTTGACAGTACGATTGTTTGGGAGCAAGGGTGGGGTGTAACTGTTTGAGAGCCAGGTTAAGGGGAGATTGTTAAAATGTAACGATGGGGCACAACTATTTGGAATGTACAAGGTGGGTTGTGCATGTGAGTTGGGAGGTTATGGGTTATGCGTGACAAGTTGTGTGTTGTTGTAAAGGTGGGTTATGTGTTCAGTGTTGGATGCACATGTTAGAGGTTGGTTTGGTGTGGCGTGTTATTTATTTATTTTTTTAATTTTTTGCACTTCTACATCGGTTAAAATTTAATTGATGTGGAAAGTGGCATCTTTTACATTGGCAAGATCTACATCGATCCTATAGTCAATGTAAAACACTCATTTTAACTGATGTTAAATCTCCATTCTACACTATTGGTGACACACCCTTTAACCTAAACGTTTTTATTTATGAGTGTTGTGGAAGTTAACTAATTAAAACTTATGTGGAACAAAGAAAACTTTACTGAATAAAAAAGTCTTGGAACTCCAAAGGCCAATAACAAATTAATTAAAAACCTGAAGTTGAATAAATATCAAATTATAAAAGAGATAACCAAATGTTCAATCTTGATGTCACTACCAATCAACGCATTCAAATTGAAAAGAAATAATTAACAAGACTTGAGGCCTAAACCTCCTCAATGGCACTATCATGATCATAGTCATGTGGGACATTAACTATATAATAACTTTATGGAAAGATACAAATAGAAAGGGAGTGAGACGCATTTAATAACATTATTAAATACAATAAAAGAAGAAGGTAGAACAGACACAGACACAAGCATATAACCATTCATCCAAAACATTTAATAGTTAAAAAAAACACATGCAAATGATGCAATGCATTTTCCTTAGCTTTTATAGCATTTACATGTGATACCAAGTTAAAAAAAATTGAAAGTGGACAAGAAGTACATGCAGTCCACAACTCACACTCAAATAGGATATGATTGCCACTGACACCAACTAGTCTGATATCCCTTAGTGACTTGCCAGGATCACCTAAGAAAAGTAGAATGCCTCGACTTACATGGGATCAACATAAATCATGGGGTTTCCTCACTAGATGTAATTCCCCCAAGGCCAAGGTTAACAACCCTTTATGGCCCCCTCTAGCCAAGTTCTTGAGTACTTTCCAAAAGAAAAATTAGTTCATCATGGTTATGATGCTCTATCACATAAATATGCCTATTTTCATTACAACATTCTCACATAGAGGATCCTACCTCTAATAGGCTAGGTCCTTATTCATATCAATTCACAACATACCATGGCATTTCATTGCATTTGTTCAATATCATTTATATCATACATATATATATATATATATATATATATATATATATATATATATATATATATT